TTGTCTGTCTCCCTCTTCCAGCTATAGGTTCTGCAAAGGCAGTCTTTGCTTGTCCATTGGTACATCTTAAAAACCTGAAACAGTGCCTGGCATATGGTAGGCCCTCAAAAATATTTGTTGAACAAATGCGTGGGTAAGAAGCAAACATCTCAGCATTCTCAGAATATTAAACTTCTGTTTAATATTCTGTTGTGGTTAAAGTTGGAAGACCAGATTAAGCACATCTATGAACTGGGGGAATCATGGCGGCTGTGTGGTCTTTAACAATATTGTTTGTTCGCCTCTATTAAACCTTGAATCTGAGACAGTTATTTAAGCCAGATAATGTGAAAGAAAACCTATGGCAGCGGTGACTTTGGTTAAAATTTAATTAGCTATGAAGATTGGTTGGTGAATTGAGAGGACAAAGGTTCAAGGGAGCTATTACAAGATTTCCTTCAGGAGGAATTGATCAACATTGTCAAGACGATTCCCCAGCAGACAACCAGAAACTGTCATGAGCAGGATAGATACACAGAGCAGCATTTCCCACTAATCCCTTTAGATCCTCCAAGGGGGAAAAAAAGGTTTCGTGACTAAATCATGTTAGGAAACTTTGTATATTTCCACAATCCACGCTAGCATACGATTTGAGATGTTCTGCAATAAAGCATTTATTTAATTTTGTTTAACCCAATGTCTTATTTGACCTCAGAAACCTGTTTTCATTGTTCTTTTTTTTTTTTTAATAAAGGTAGATTTATTTAGAGAGATACACACTGCATAGAGTGGAGGCTGTTTCAGAAGGCAAGAGAAAGGCCACGAGATGTGGGGGTTGGGTGCTCGGGTTAAAGTCAAAGTAGATACACACTCCATAGACTGAGTGCGGGCCATCTCTGAAGAGGAGGGAGAAAGAGAGGCAGTGAGGGGCAGTGTTGCTAGTTTTTATGGGCTCGGTAGCTTCGTATGCTGACAAGTGGGAGGACCATTCCAACTACCCTGGTAAAGAGGCTGGGATTCCCAGGAGTTGGGCCACCACCCACTCTGACTTTTTGTGGCTAGCCTTGGGACGGTCATGGTCCCTGTGGGCATATTATTTACCATGCCAATATATTACAATGAGCATATAATGAAGCTCAATTTCTACCAGAAGACAAATCTCCCACCATCTCGAGCCTCAAGGCCTACTAGAAGTTGAATATTCCACCATTTTAGTGTTAATTGCTGTGTCATTCCTTGAGTGGCTGTGCCCTGCCCTCTTCCCTTCTGTCTCATTCCCACATCAGAGATTTTACTCCCATAATTTTACAGGGTTGCAGAGGGGCGATGGTCCGTCTTCCAAAACTACTTCCAGGCTGAGTAGGGGCGTTGACCCTGCCTAGCAGGGAGTAAAAATCTCTGAATGCCTAATCTAGGGGCCCCAGTTGTGGGACAGCCTTTGTTTTTGCATCTGAGGGCCACATGGGCTGGAATCCTCGCATGGCCATCATCTGACGTGAGACTGTTATAACCCGGAAGACACAAACTTTACCAAGAGGTTAGAGAGAAAAAGTTTAAGGAGAAAGAGTAGATTATGACTATTAACTGTAAATGGCATCAAATGTCTTAATGTACAGGTTTTTCCATGCCACACATTATCGATATAAAGATAAGCACTCATATAGGGGCTGAGTTTTCCCTGGGTTACACTTGTTTTGGGGGCCCTCATTTTGGAGAGTGCCATATATTTAGATGTAACCTGAAGATGTAATAAGAGATCTGGAAGCAGATGAATTTTAACAAGGAACAGTCATCTGGACCCATGGAAGAGGTAAGTTATGGGCACAAGGTGGGGACGGAAGTCATTAGTATAAAATAATGAAGTCCCGCAGTATTTTATGTCTTCAGCTTAGATGAGATGGTGGTGTAAGTGGTTTTTACCCATTGCTTTTATAGACTATTTATGTGTTTTTTTTAACATCTGGGCTAATATTCCTCTTTTGCTTGTGAAATTTTCCTTAAAATCCTCCTTTCTTCCCATTTTATCCACATATGGCCTAAATCCCCCCAAATCAATCCTAACTTCAGAACTATCTATCAACGGCTTCTGGGGGAATACTGTCCCTGGGAAGCCCCCAAGCCAAGGATGTCAACATCTAGTAATTGTTTATTGAAAAACAGCTTAAATGAGGGCCCAATCATAATCTCAAAGAAACTTCTACTTCATATTGGGATGTAATACATAGTGAAACACCTGTCCCATTGTAGAAGATGGGAAAGATCTTAAGAGAGATGTTATTAAAATAAACAGAGTTTAAAAATATGCAAGGGTCTTAGCAAGGCTGGGTGAGTGAGAAGAAGAAAGAAGGTAGGACTGGCTACAGAAGGGTTGGGTGAGTTTTGGAAAAGTGATCTGGCTTTAGGGCTAATCTTTGAGAGGGCAGTGATGTCACATCCAACATTTAAGGGGCATAGAGAATGCATGCTTAGTCCCTGTAAGCATCACTAGCCAGAGAACTTTATCAATAAAGTGAAAATGGC